CATGTACTCCATGGACCTACACACAGGAGTAGAGTTAAGTACATGTGTAAGTATTTGTGGAATCAGGGCCTACAGGTCAGATTTTTAAAGTCACTATTTAGGCACCTCACTCCCATTGAAATAAATGAGTTAGGTGCCCAAATACCCTTAAGAATCTGGTAAATTTCTAAACATGCATTTAATGTAAAGTGTTACCCCAGTATAATTCCAATATACTGCAGGGAAGAAAACACTCACCTACATCACCAATCAGGAGAACAGGACTGAGCAGCTCCTCAGGCAGGGGAAGGTTTCTGCGGAACTCAGTGTGCAGTGCTCGCAGACAAATGCAAGAAGGACCATGTAACTAACCCCAATGTTCTTCACTAGTGAGGCTCAAACACCCAGGCAGCTAGAAATGTGGCTCTATTACCATGCCAGTGCATGCTCATACACATACATTTTGGTGGCATTATCTATCTAGCTTCACTAGAAGAGCCACATTCCCTTCCCTCACTCAAGATGGCAGATAAGCCAATTCATTTTTTAAATTATTCTAAGATTTTTTTAAACTTAAAATAAATCACAAAAAAATGAGGCTTCCTCTTAGGAGTGTGTATATGGAGGTTAGCCTTCCCTTGAAGGAGGTATTCTGTGGGGAGGGAAGTAAAAGAGATAGATGCTTACAAGCACTGTTGAAGTCATATACTTTGCAAAATGCACCTTATCTGCACAATCAATGCAAATCATATACAGGATAAAGATGTTTACTGAAATCAAGTGCATCTGTAAACATCCATTTTAGGAGATTACTAACAGGTTTAATGGAAATAAATAAAGCCATGTGTTTTGCATTAAAATGAAAATATGACCTTGTTTACATGAAAATCAAAAGTCTCAGTGGTATTTTATTTTGTCTTGGTACTGTTTTGTGATTCATAACTAAAAATCACAAGATATTATTCCTTTCTCTCAACAGCTAAAATTCCCTGCACAGTGCATGCTTTGTCATTAACCTATACCATCATACATGTGCTATTGACTATTTCTTTGGATTGCTCCAGATTTTAAAATACATATTATTGTCATCATTTGGCATCAGGTTGTCATTTTTCAAACCCACCATTTTGCAGCAATCCTGTTGACTAAAAACATCATAGCTGTAATATTAAGTTGTTTAACCTTTTTATCTATCCAGGATAGTTACAGTGTTTAGGAGAGATTATTACACAAAAAGCCCACCCCTAGCCCAAAGATCTCACAGTGTCCCATTGTTTTTTGGGGAAGTTCTATGGACTGGGTATACAGGAGGTCAGCCTAGATGATCACATTGGTCCCTTCTGGCCTTGGAATCTACGAATCTCCTTGTTATTAAGCACCAAGATTAAGAATATGAGGCACTCTGTGTTTAAATACATAAATAGACTCAGCTAACTTAGCACATGTGATCTGTATATTACTACTCAGCCATTTCTCTTAGTGCTAAGTATAAGATATGCAGCCGAAAAGGAAGTATGATGCCATCTGCTCTTTAAAGTTATAATGGGATATGTGAAGGAGAAAACACAGTGATATGCGTTCCTCTATAACTAGTGTAGCTGGAAAAAATCATCAGATTTGCAAAATTACTGAAAAAGCTGTTTCATACAAAGAGCACGGCATATATGTAATGAAGACCATAATGCTACTTACCAACACATCCAGAATAAATATTTCACAAAATGCTAATACAAGCTTTCCATAAATAGCTATGGTACTTTAAAAATAAATATTGCGGTGTTCAGTATCATTATAGCTAATTATAATGATTAGACTTTGCATATAATAAAACAATTTAGAAAACTCAGGACAAGAGACGACTCCTGGGGGATCTAAGAAAACTAGGTAAGTGGAAGATTAATTTCAATGTTCACAAATGCAAGGGAACAAACATTGTGGAAGAAGCAATTTAGGCTACTATTATGCATTGCTCATTTCTAAATTATAACCATTCAGGAAAAGGACCCTGACATCATGGTCGGCAGTTCAATGAAAATCTCTGATCAATGTGCAAAGGGCAATCAAAAATATTAAGATATATAAAGAATGCGATAGAAAATGTTACAATGCCCTTATATAAGTCAATTGTTCACTCACTTATTGAAAGAAATGTTCAGTTCTGGTCAAGCTATCTCAAAAAAAGACACAGCAAAAATGGAAGGGGTCTAGAGATGGCCAATGAAATGTAGAGAGGCATGGAAAAATTCGATCTGAGGAGAGTGAAAAGTTAAGGGTAAACTTTTGAAAAAGGCCTGTGACACTCAGAAAGATAATTCCCATTTTCAAAAGTGATTTAGGAACTTGGGAGCCTAACTCTTATTGATACAGTGAGACTTGCATTTCTATGGGCCAGATATTCAAAATCTCATTGATTTCAATGGATGTTAGGCATCTAATCTACTTAGGTGATTTTGAAAATCCCAGTAGTTGTCTATCTTTAGGCACCTAAATACTTTTGAAAATCTGTCCCTAAGTGCCCAAGTCATTTTTTAAAATGGGACTTAGGCACCTATGTCACTTAGATGCTTTTGAAAAATTTACCCAAGGGCTGTTATATTCAGAGAGGAGACAAGTAAGAAGTCCCATGACAGAAGTACACAAAACAACGAGAAGGTAAGTAGGCACAAGGGAACTTTCAATTAAATTGAAAGGTAGCAAAATAAAAATAATACAAGGAATTCCATTTTTATACAACATATTGTTAAGCTATGGAACTCATTGAAACAGTATGCCATTGACTGCCAGAGTTTAGCAGGATTCAAAAAAGGATTAGACATTTATATGGATAAAATAAACTCCACATGTTTATGATAAAAGAAAATATTAAGAGGTACAAACTCTCATGCCTTAGGGACCAAGCGAACTGCTAACTGTCTTACTTCTCCTATGGATACATTATTCCATAACTAGCCATTATTTAGATTCTTACACCTTCCTACAAATGGTAATAGCCTCTGTCAGAGACAAGATACCGGACCAGATGAACCATTGGTATGATCCAATAGGGCAACTTAAGCTCTTTGAGGCAGAGTCTGTCTTTTTGTTCTGTATTTGTATAATGCCTAGCACAATGGGGTCCTGGCCCATGACTGGGGCTCCTATGTGGTTTGATAATACAAAGTAACAATTCCTATGCCCCTATTTTTGAAAGGGTTTTGGCTACCAATTTCAAAAGAGACTGGTGAATTTGGATGCATCAGTTTGGGGACGGGGGGTTCAACTTGAGACACCTTAAATGTAATTTATAGCAAGTCTGCCCACTGGTACTGCTGCTTTGACTGATTGTGTAACTTTTCTTTATTGTGCTTTCAAGTTTATGTCAAGCATGCTCAGAGCTCTGGAGCTTAAATATTGAGTTTTAAAATCTAAATAAAATAGAGGGGCCTGATTTTCAGAAGTGCTGAGCATCCTCAGAGAGACTGGAGCATTTAAAGTGACTCAAGTTAGGCACCCAAAAATTAAGACACCAAAAATCGCTAGTCACTTATGACAATTTAGGCCTTTCTGACAAAAAGGCTCTACTTTCTCTATGATTTTGCAGTTTTTATTTTTTACATTAAAATAGTTACAATACCCTTCACTAGAACTGAAGGCGAAGTTACTCCATTCATGAAGCTGAATAATCCCTGTTACACACAATTATGAAAAAATTAATTGTCTCTCCAGTGATCATGCGCACACTAAATACCTTTGAGTCCTGTTTGCATAGAACTAGCAGAACCAGTCACACCAAATAAGTATGGTGCAGTACTGGAAAGATAATTATAGGCTTCCAAACTTGAATCATTAACTAAACAAAGCCACCAAGAAAAACAGGTGAGCCCTCAAAGGTTGTGCTCTCGAGTGTGTCGAACATATGAAGCAAAGCCACAGGTGTTACCTTGGTTTGGGAAGTATTTCAGAGTACTTTGTTGTTGAACTACTCCCCCGTATGCAAAACCATTAGGAAAAAGAAGTGGACAGTAACTAGAGGAAGGAAGTGGCATGCTAGACACAATTAAGAAATCATCCACAAATGTCCTGAAGCTAATTTAAGAGGCATGGATCCTCTGGTCATAGCATGGAGTCTGAGCCTCAAATGGGCTTTTAAAAAGTTTTTAAGAAAAACAAAAAAAGCCAGGACTCCAAGACAAATGGAGACAGACACTATCACGTGCTACCATGACAGGTTCAAAAGTGTCTTCTGTAAAGAAGTTTCCTTCAGAGGTTACCACACCATCTGAAAGACCTCTGTAACACAATTAATATTTAAAACTTTGTTATTTCTGTTTTCTCCAGACATGAATGTATTGACTACGCATCTTATACTTGATATGTGTGAAATACTAGCTGATTATCCTTGTTGCTATGCGGTCACTTTCCTGAGGCAGGCAAAGTGAAGTCAACGTGACAATCCAGTTTGCTGATTTTAATTAAGGGACTGGAACAGAGAGTCCAACTTCAGTGCCAGCAGAGCAAAGCCATGCCAAGGCAGACTTGGCACATTGGGTTAAAGGGTCATATCGGAAGCAATACCATTCAACATCAGACCAACATAAATTCCGAAACAATATAACTTAGCCAGAAGTACAGTGCCTGATGACTCTTTGTCAAACTTAATTAACGTTAACCGTCTTGCAGTTGATTTGCAAAATTTTCTTTATGCCCCACTTCTTTTGTGCTTTCTGCAATCAGGACAGTCTATTTTAGCAGTCACCTTGTTTACATTTTAAAGTGTTTATAATGTTTTAAGAAACACAAAAGCAGAAAATTAACAGGGATTTAGATGCAACAGATGGGAACTGAGATTAATGGGAGCAGAGTTAGGCCAATGCTGAGCAGTTTTGAAATTCCACCCTGTATGTACTTAAAAGAAAAGAAAAGAAAGAAAGAAAGAAAGAAAGAAAGAAAGAAAAAGGCGAGAGCAACATCATAACTATATGAAGAGAGTGGAAACTTCTCTGTGGGGCCAGTGTCAGATCATTTTAGACTCAACATTTTACCTCCCTTAATGTTTCCTGTTTGATCAATGTGTAGTTCCTGTGGACTCTTAAGGTCATTCTTTTTAAAGGGGCTGCTGATTTTGGTTGCCTCAGTTACTGGTCTTCAGACACCTTGGACCAATGAGAGATACAGCTCTTCAGCACCTTTGAAAAATCAGAAAAGTCATTACCCTTGGTCACCAAATGCTTTTTGGCATGTCCAAATGTGGAATTTAGACACCTCACACAATTAAGATACCCCAGGTTAAAAATTTGCCCTCGTTAGTAGGGGATGAAGCACTCGGCACATTCCCTCTTAGTGTAGGAACAAGCCAGGAGCACTCTGCTCCTGTAATTTTGGGCTGCCAAGCAGACAGACAAGTAAGTCTGCTCTAATTTACACCAGGGACTGCACTAGGCCTACAGAGTAGCCCAGAATCTGGGAGCCCCCTTTACTTCCACTTTTGGGCTGTGACTTCTGTGCTGCACTTCTTGAAAAGCAGAGCACAGAATCTGGCCCACACAAGACAGACAACAATACGTTTAAACACAAAGTATGTGGGGACAGACAGGATGTACAAGTTCCACATCACCACCCAGGGGGGCAATTCTAGGAGAATAAAAAGTTGGAGGGGGAAAGGAAACATGTCTCCTCATACCCTTTACTGCTTGTGCCAGTGGACAGGGCTGCAGATGCGAGAGTGGGGAGAACAGATCACTCAGACCTCGGGAGAGTGACTGTCGGGACATAGAGTAGCAGCCGTGTTAGTCTGTATTCGCAAAAAGAAAAGGAGTACTAGTGGCACCTTAGAGACTAACAAATTTATTTGACCATAAGCTTTCGTGAGCTACAGCTCACTTCATCAGTTTCCACTGAAGGCATCCGATGAAGTGAGCTGTAGCTCACGAAAGCTTATGCTCAAATAAATTTGTTAGTCTCTAAGGTGCCACAAGTCCTCCTTTTCTTTTTGTCGGGATATAAGTTCTAATATATCCCCTGACGCAGGATACCATGGGAAAGTTGTAGACAGGTCACTGGCCTGCTGCAGGGGGAGGTGGGAGTGTTGCAGAGCAACCCCCCTGCACTCATCCCACAGAGGCAGCTCCTATCCTGGAGGGAGGCTTGGGGCTGGCTTCGCGCTCGGGGCATTGTGACCCACTCCTGACCACCTCTCCATCATGACAAAATGCAGCTGGTGGTTTGGGAACCACTGTGCTAAAGGCTGAACACTGGATTTGCTGTTAAACTAGAATCATAGAATCATAGAATATCAGGGTTGGAAGGGACCCCTGAAGGTCATCTAGTCCAACCCCCTGCTCGAAGCAGGACCAATTCCCAGTTAAATCATCCCAGCCAGGGCTTTGTCAAGCCTGACCTTAAAAACCTCTAAGGAAGGAGATTCTACCACCTCCCTAGGTAACGCATTCCAGTGTTTCACCACCCTCCTAGTGAAAAAGTTTTTCCTAATATCCAATCTAAACCTCCCCCACTGCAACTTGAGACCATTACTCCTCGTTCTGTCATCTGCTACAATTGAGAACAGTCTAGAGCCATCCTCTTTGGAACCCCCTTTCAGGTAGTTGAAAGCAGCTATCAAATCCCCCCTCATTCTTCTCTTCTGCAGGCTAAACAATCCCAGCTCCCTCAGCCTCTCCTCATAACTCATGTGTTCTAGACCCCTAATCATTTTTGTTGCCCTTCGCTGGACTCTCTCCAATTTATCCACATCCTTCTTGAAGTGTGGGGCCCAAAACTGGACACAGTACTCCAGATGAGGCCTCACCAATGTCGAATAGAGGGGAACGATCACGTCCCTCGATCTGCTCGCTATGCCCCTACTTATACATCCCAAAATGCTATTGGCCTTCTTGGCAACAAGGGCACACTGCTGACTCATATCCAGCTTCTCGTCCACTGTCACCCCTAGGTCCTTTTCCGCAGAACTGCTGCCTAGCCATTCGGTCCCTAGTCTGTAGCGGTGCACGGGATTCTTCCATCCTAAGTGCAGGACCCTGCACTTATCCTTATTGAACCTCATCAGATTTCTTTTGGCCCAATCCTCCAATTTGTCTAGGTCCTTCTGTATCCTATCCCTCCCCTCCAGCGTATCTACCACTCCTCCCAGTTTAGTATCATCCGCAAATTTGCTGAGAGTGCAATCCACACCATCCTCCAGATCATTTATGAAGATATTGAACAAAAACCGGCCCCAGGACCGACCCTTGGGGCACTCCACTTGATACCGGCTGCCAACTAGACATGGAGCCATTGATCACTACCCGTTGAGCCCGACAATCTAGCCAGCTTTCTACCCACCTTGTAGTGCATTCATCCAGCCCATACTTCCTTAACTTGCTGACAAGAATACTGTGGGAGACTGTGTCAAAAGCTTTGCTAAAGTCAAGATACAATACATCCACTGCTTTCCCTTCATCCACAGAACCAGTAATCTCATCATAAAAGGCAATTAGATTAGTCAGGCATGACCTTCCCTTGGTGAATCCATGCTGGCTGTTCCTGATCACTTTCCTCTCATGCAAGTGCTTCAGGATTGATTCTTTGAGGACCTGCTCCATGATTTTTCCAGGGACTGAGGTGAGGCTGACTGGCCTGTAGTTCCCTGGATCCTCCTTCTTCCCTTTTTTAAAGATTGGCACTACATTAGCCTTTTTCCAGTCATCCGGGACTTTCCCCGTTCACCACGAGTTTTCAAAGATAATGGCCAATGGCTCTGCAATCACAGCCACCAATTCCTTCAGCACTCTCGGATGCAACTCGTCCGGCCCCATGGACTTGTGCACGTCCAGCTTTTCTAAATAGTCCCTAACCACCTCTATCTCCACAGAGGGCTGGCCATCTCTTCCCCATTTTGTGATGCCCAGCGCAGCAGTCTGGGAGCTGACCTTGTTAGTGAAGACAGAGACAAAAAAAGCATTGAGTACATTAGCTTTTTCCACATCCTCTGTCACTAGGTTGCCTCCCTCATTCAGTAAGGGGCCAACACTTTCCTTGGCTTTCTTCTTGTTGCCAACATACCTGAAGAAACCCTTCTTGTTACTCTTGACATCTCTTGCTAGCTGCAGCTCCAGGTGCGATTTGGCCCTCCTGATATCATTCCTACATGCCCGAGCAATATTTTTATACTCTTCCCTGGTCATATGTCCAACCTTCCACTTCTTGTAAGCTTCTTTTTTATGTTTAAGATCCGCTAGGATTTCACCATTAAGCCAAGCTGGTCGCCTGCCATATTTACTATTCTTTCGACTCATCGGGATGGTTTGTCCCTGTAACCTCAACAGGGATTCCTTGAAATACAGCCAGCTCTCCTGGACTCCTTTCCCCTTCAAGTTAGTCCGCCAGGGGATCCTGGCCATCCGTTCCCTGAGGGAGTCGAAGTCTGCTTTCCTGAAGTCCAGGGTCCGTATCCTGCTGCTTACCTTTCTTCCCTGCGTCAGGATCCTGAACTCAACCAACTCATGGTCACTGCCTCCCAGATTCCCATCCACTTTTGCTTCCCCCACTAATTCTACCCGGTTTGTGAGCAGCAGGTCAAGAAAAGCTCCCCCCCTAGTTGGCTCCTCTAGCACTTGCGCCAGGAAATTGTCCCCTACGCTTTCCAAAAACTTCCTGGATTGTCTATGCACCGCTGTATTGCTCTCCCAGCAGATATCAGGAAAATTAAAGTCACCCATGAGAATCAGGGCATGCAATCTAGTAGCTTCCGTGAGCTGCCGGAAGAAAGCCTCATCTACCTCATCCCCCTGGTCCGGTGGTCTATAGCAGACTCCCACCACGACATCACTCTTGTTGCACACACTTCTAAACTTAATCCAGAGACACTCAGGTTTTTCTACAGTTTCGTACCGGAGCTCTGAGCAGTCATACTGCTCCCTTACATACAGTGCTACTCCCCCACCTTTTCTGCCCTGCCTGTCCTTCCTGAACAGTTTATAACCATCCATGACAGTACTCCAGTCATGTGAGTTATCCCACCAAGTCTCTGTTATTCCAATCACGTCATAGTTCTTTGACATCACCAGGACCTCCAGTTCTCCCTGCTTGTTACCAAGGCTTTGTGCATTTGTATATAAGCACTTGAGATAACCTGTTGATCGCCCCTCATTCCCAGTATGAGGCAGGAGCCCTCCCCTCACAGACATTCCTGCCTGTGCTTCCTCCCGGTATCCCGCTTTCCCACTTACCTCAGGGCTTTGGTCTCCTTCCCCCAGTGAACCTAGTTTAAAGCCCTCCTCACCAGGTTAGCCAGCCTGCTGGCAAAGATGCTCTTCCCTCTCTTCGTAAGATGGAGCCCGTCTCTGCCCAGCACTCCTCCTTCATGGAACACCATCCCATGGTCAAAGAATCCAAAGCCTTCTCTCCGACACCACCTGCGTAGCCATTCGTTGACTTCCACGATTCGACGGTCCCTACCCAGGCCTTTTCCTTCCACGGGGAGGATGGACGAGAACACCACTTGCACCTCCAACTCCTTTATCCTTTTTCCCAGAGCCACGTAGTCCGCAGTGATCCGCTCAAGGTCATTCTTGGCAGTATCATTGGTGCCCACGTGGAGAAGCAGGAAGGGGTAGCGATCCGAGGGCTTGATGAGTCTCGGCAGTCTCTCCGTCACATCGCGAATCTTAGCCCCAGGCAAGCAGCAGACTTCTCGGTTTTCCCGGTCAGGGCGGCAGATAGATGACTCAGTCCCCCAGTAAAACTAATTTTACTGTGGCAGTTAATTCAGTTGGGAAGTTAGGCCAGCAACCCAAAGCGTCAGCGCATATCTAGCAACCATCCCTCATTTCCAGGCACATCCCTCAGTTCAGTCCCCAAGTTCCACTCAAGTTTAGCATCCCCGCACTTTTCCTGGGCTTCCCACCGGACACAGGGGCACAAGAAAGTGAAAGTATTGGAAACCCATCTTCCTTCCTCCCTCCCCCCGCATGGTAAGTGTCCGGTGTGTGAATAATTTCCCCGCGTCCCTCATTTTGGCTCTTGGTGCCGCACCGAGTCACCCACCCCCGCCGCGCTGGGCCTGGGCGAGAGTTTCGTGCCCGCGGCGCTGCAAAGAGTTAACCCCGGCAGGAAGCGCTCGGCAGCCACACTTCCTGCGCGGGGATCTCCCCAGCTGTCACTCTTCCTCGTGACTCGCTGCCTTTTGCAAGGAGGAGTCGGGAGCGGGAGCAGGAGCGCGCCCGGCTGTGTTTACCTGGCTCCGGCAGAAAGCAGCCTCCCTTCCCGCCGGGGCGGGGCCAGAAGCCCAGGTTGGGAGCCTCGCTCTCCGCTGCGGCCGAGCAAGACGTGTCAGGGCTGGGACGCCCTGCAGCAGCGGGGTGAATCCGGCTCAGTTCCTCACGCTCCTCGGAGAGCCAGCATGCCCGCCGTGGACAAGCTCCTCCTGGAAGAGGCTTTGCAGGACAGCCCGCAGGTACCCGCCCCCCGCCTCTGTCTCCTCGCCGCTCCTGCCCTTTCCCTCCGGGGAGCACCCCCGGAGCCAGCCTCGGGCTGGCGGGAGGCGCCTGGGCGGCGCGGCGGTTCACAGGCCGGTGCAGGGGGGAGGGTTGTTTTCACTAATCCCGCCGTGCCATGGGGCTGCTCTGGGGCTAGCCCTGCTCGGCGCCGTGCAGCGCAGATGCCCGTGACGCACCTGCAGTGACAGCGGCGTGAAGGCCACACGGGATTCAGCAGGCCCGAGCAAAGGGGGGGCCCCACAATCCAGGCTGGTGGTTTGGGGCCCGGGTGAGACGCTGAGCAAGAACAACAAATAGTAATAACAGGAGTTAGTGTCAGACCGCCTTGTGCGTCTGCGGCTCCCAGTGTGCGTGAAGAAAGGTGGGTGGGGCGCATGCCACCATTTTACAGATTGGGAAACTGAGGCACGGCAGGGGTTAGGGGGTTTGCAGCGGCCTACGTGAACGGCGTCTTTTTGCTGTGGGGGCAGGGAAGTAGCCACCCAGGAGTAGGCTGAGGCGGTTCAAAGTGGAGGAAATTAGGTCACCTGTCACAGGGGGAGGACTGCGGGGGAGGGTTTCATAGACCGTCTGGGTGGGGTTGGCACCTGGGATGAGAAAAGGGTGCCCCGCCCTCTCTTCTCTGTCAAACTACCCCCTCCCTCTCACTAGTTGGATGTGACTGTGCTGGCTCCAAGGCTTTTCCAGAGGAGGGACCCATGGGGGGAGGGCAAGGTGTCAGCCTGCGACATGTCCTAGGCAATGGTGCTTGAGGTGCATGTGTACTTAGCCAGCCTGCTGTTGGTTTCCCTAGCTCCTCTGACCAGAGTGGTGAGAGACTGCAGGGCTTATAAAACTGGGACGCAATATTGTTTGTTATAAAACTGAGAGAGACACCAGGGCAGTCACTGAAAACAGGGATGTTCCTGGGTTTTAGGGACACAGTCGCTGTGTGGATTCCTAGCACTAAATCCACACTCTTACGGCCCTTTCCATTTCCATCCACCCTTCAGGGGCTGGAGAAGAATTTCCTTGTATTAGACTAGATCTCTTCCCTTCTGTCTAGCATACTCTAGACCACACAGTGATCTCCAGGCTAGGCTAGCTGCAGCCAATGCTACATCCTTATTGGAAAAGCGAACAATGGACCTGGGGAATGCTCCACACAGAGGAGAGGCTAGCAGGTGCTCCATATTGATGGTGAGAGGGAGAAACGGGTGAGAAGGAGGAATGCTGAGAATTGGGGGTGAAAAGGGGGGTGAAAAGGGTGGGGAGGAGAAAATTGGGGAAGGTAGGGAGATACTATGGGGGCACAGGGAAACAGAAGTCAGCGGGAGGAGTTTATGGATGGGGAAGAGTGGGGACTTCACCAAGGGTTGGGAAGAGGGACACATGTAGGAAGGTTTGTGTGTAAGGCATGATGAAGAAACAAACAAAAGGAGGTGGCCGTATGGGGAGGAAAGAAAGGAGGACAGGTGTGATTGGTAATTAGGAGAGAGGTAAAGTCCTAGATCCATGGCAAGGAGGAGCAGTAGTCTCACCAGGATGGACCTATTGAGGCTCTGTGACCCCATTCTACTACCACCCCAAATTGGCTGGTCCTAGACCAGCAGGAGGAAGGAAATTAGTGCTGGGAGGAATCAGAGCCCCCTTCCTTTTGATACAGGGGGCACCCCACAATTTAGTGAACTAGAGTAGATTTATTATTAATATTACTTGATAGTTATGGTGTTTACATCTCCAAGGCTCAATGCAAGTATTAATTCTGAATAACTTTATACAGCCACTAAGTAAACTCATTTTCCTGTTCCATCAACACCATCTCACATGATTAAAAATTTAACAAAAACTGAAAGCAACCAAAGAAAGCACAGACTAAGGTTTGAAAATCTCCCCAGTCTTTAATGGCCTGAAACAAAGGAGTTTAACCCTTCCTTTGCAATCGGTAGAAATACTAGAAGAGTAAAGACTATATAAACCTAAACCTTTGCAGGATATTTCTCGCTTGATTCCTTCATCATTTGTTGTTTTATCTAGGTTTCTGGAAAAATAATTTCACTTTTCCATAATTGCCACATGGTCCTTATTTTTGTAATAATAAATTAATTCATTTATATAAATTTTTAATTCACAAAATTAATTACATTTTCAATATAGTAACTTTTTGCATGAAAGAGGCCTGATTCTCCACTGTCTATTATTCGTTTGTGTTGTGGTAACACCTAGGAGTCTGTCATGGACCAGGACCCCATTTTGCTAGTTGCTGTACAAACACAGAACAAAAAAGACTGCCTCTGCCCCCAAAGAGCTTACTGTCTAGCACCTCTATAGTAATTTATTCTTGTACAAAGTGGGCCTGATCCTCTTTTGGTCTGTACTTTCTATAGTCATTTTTAGAACAAAACAGATATAAAACCATTCCTTTCAGACAAGGTGCCAGGCAGTGGAGAATTAGGCATAAGTTATTTATTAATAAGGTTTGCAAAGCTCACTTTCTCTCCAAGAGTAGTGTAATTATATCTTCATTGTCCCCAAGCATTGTACAAAAAAGCCCCCACCTAATGAATGTATTCCATTTAAAGTGTTTGACTGCAAATTAGGAGACAGACTCACCCAAGTAGCCATTCTGAATTCAACACTCACTCATGTGAAGACCAGATTTGGCCCCATGTTTCCAGCAGCAAGAGTGGTGGCATGATTAATGAAGCCTCCACAGCAATGTTAAAAGGTTATGTTTGGATTACCATGGTTCACTGGTGTAGCTTTATCTAATACGTAAGAATTTGACAAAACAGCAAAAAGGAAACTATACATCTGTTTGTTAGTTGCACTGGTTTAAAATAGTGATTTTAAAAAGAAACATCATAAAGATTTTGAACTTTAACGTCCAAACTATTTGAATCATTTATAGAGTTTATTATTTTTGAACAAAAGTGCTAATAACTGAGGCCAAGATTTAATGAATAAATAAATGGGCACCTACAATTAAGTAGCTGACTCCATATTTAGGCATCTGAATAAGTAAAGCTGGGATTTTTCAAGAAGCCTATGCTAATTTCAATAGGATATAGGCATCTAAGGGCCATCTGTGCTCCATATTATGTAAATATATACTTAGGAGGCTAACTTTAGGCATCTATTTTTTGAAAATCTTGGCCTGAGAATTTTCTTGCTTAACATTTCCCATAATTCTGTTGCTTTATCCTGTAACCATGATCCTTTGTTTATTGTGTCTGGTGAATCAGTCTTTTGTCACAGCACAGTATAACGATGTTCAATGTTAGGTAAAAGAAAAGATGGGGTTATAGAGAACAGAAGTTTTAAATTAGCAAAACTATAGTCAGTGATTGCAACAACTCAAATCCAGGTATTTTTGCAAATTAGTATGTGTTTCAATTATTAAAATCCAGACTGGGGCTCTGTCCTGGAAACTCTCAGAACATGGGGTTCCCATTGAAAGGAGGAAGGAAATCAGTGCTGGGCGGAATCAGAGCCCCCTTCCTTTTGGAAGGAAGTTCTGCATGCCAAGGGCTTGCAGGATCTAGCCCTATGTAGCTTTCTGTTGGTGTATTTTGAATTCATTCCCTCTTTGATTTGTATGTGGTGTTGTTTTAATGAAAACAGTATTTTGCACTTCTAATGCTCCTTTTTATCCTACCATCTTAAAATTCTTTCCAAGCATCAGTTATCCCCCACAATGTTTCTAAGACAGGTAGTAATATACCCATTTAACATTAGTAAACTTAGGTTTTGTGAGATTAAGTGATTTACCCAGGGTAAGCCAGTACAGCCATGCAGAGTCTAAAATAGGACTTCCAGTCACCTGCTTTAATTACTAGACAACACGACTTTACACTGTAAATAGACACTTCTCAGCACCAGGGCTGGATTAAGCTTTTATGGGCCCAGGTGCCAAACATATTTGTGGGCCCTCATGTAGTCATTGTGGGCTCCAAGTGTGGGCCTGGTGTGGCGATGCCATAGTATACCCGGTATTGAATCTCAGAGACATTTTTCATGTTGATATCACACCTCTGCATGACTATATGTATTGCCATACACAGCTCCCTCAGCCCCCAGTTTTTCTCATTGAGCTGTACACCCATGTGGGTTTACCAGTGTCCACAGTGAGCAGAACTTTCATAATGATCAGGGGAAACTCCCCACAGATTTATCTCCTTCCTCATTCAGACCTTCTGTAGCCATGTCTCCAGTACCACCCTATGTCACCAGTCACTGTATGTGGTCTGAGCCCAATAAAATTCCACAGCCAGTAGATAGCTGATCAGTTCTGACAAATGCCTCCCTCAGCTCCCATCCTGCCATTTGAGCAAGCCACTTGCAAACACCATTTCCCCAAAGTGAGGACTTAACCCCTGGGAACCTGAAGTCACCAGCCTTTCTCCCTCTGCTCCCATCTACATGCTAGTCTAGTACCTGATCACCACCACCACTCCCCATGCCTGTTTCCCTTCTACCTTGGACGTTATTCTCCCCTGCAAGCCTGACCTGCTTCCTCTTTCCCTGCTTCCCTTGACATTCCTTTCCTATGGGTGACCTCTGTTCCTTAGGTTAACTCCAG